TATCTCTCTGACATATCTAAACATACATTCTTTAACCTTAATCTGTTAATCAATGGTATTATTCTACATATAAAAAATAAGTGTTTTTGAACCGACAGTATACTTCAATACGAGACGTGAAGTAATGTTTAGCCGGTATTTTCCCTTAATTCACGTGTAACATTACTTTATTGTAACATAACTTTATTTCATGTTGCCGGCCTTTCAAAATCATTTTGCCGGTGCAGAATGCATCTAACCTTTAGCAAACCTCCTCAGAATAAAATTCAGATCAAATTAGGTATTTTAATCTAGTTTTCATTTAACAAACATAATTTTCCATTAATCTATTCTATAATAAAAATAAACATTCAAAGATTTGAGAATATCACTAAAAAAAGGAAAGAGGCACACTGCATTTCTGTGACACAAAGCATTCTGTAAAGTGTGTAGTTACACAGACTCAACAACAAAAACAATAATTAAAAAAAAAGGAAAAAGAAGAAGAAGAGGGAAAGAAAACGAAATTAGTGCCCTTAAGCAATGCGCTTAAGAACGTTTATTTTAGAGGTGCTTAGCTTCAGAACCTTAGATGTATGTTTTGTCACTAGAACTAAACCTGTACATGCTAAAACATTTTGTGCTTCATAGCTAAGTGAAAATATAAAAATTAATAAAATATTAAAATATAAAGGGCAAGAATTGCATTACGCTTAATTTCATAAATAAAAAAGGAATCTGAAATGGTAAACTTCATCAGTTCAAATGAAAAATTTAATTCTTTACACTGCCGTTGTATAGGCCTAAAATGGTATACTTCAAATAACACCTGGAAACAGCATCAATGGGAAATGTTAAAAAATGATCAATCTCAGCACGCGAATAGTTATCATTTTCTTTTAAGAGCTGTGGCAATATTTAAAAGAAAGTCGTGTCTCAGACGAAAGGAAAAGCGAAAAAAGAAAAGGGAAATTGTTTCAAATAATTTTTTTCATTAGGGGATCATTTCAATGGCAAGTTTTCGAATGCGAATCCTTGCTCTTGAAATTCTTAATAATGCATAAATTAAAATCTGCCACGCCCTAGGACGAAAGAAATGAAATGCTTTGTCCTTGGAGATAAACTAATTGATTAAGAAGAAAGAACTTACACTTTCTAATACGCATCTAATGCATTACTATGACGATAAACAAAACTGATATTATAATTAATACAAAACGAATGTAATATATAATTTATGCAACTTAAGTTATACAAGTTTACAAATTGCGTTTTGCTTTTTTCTTTTGTTTGTACGATTTTTTTTTAAATGCAAGCTTGTACATTAAAACAAAAACTGTGTACTTTTTGATTGATATTACAATGACTGATGCATCAAAAACTAATTTTAAGTATAGACAGAAATAATTCCTTTTATTACTTTTGGATTATATTTCTACCAGTTTTCTTGGCTAAAGGAGGGTAATTTAGATATTTTACAAACATAATTTTTGACAGAATATATTTCAGCATATGTATTACATATTCCAACATATTCTAGCGGAACATTTTTCCTCCTCGTAAAAATCATGTCATATTCTTTCAAAATGCATAAAGTAAAAAAATATAGTGATAACTCAATATGGAATTTTGTCCAATCTTATAGAGATCCAAGCATATAGCAATGCTTTTTAATATAAGCATTGTTTGTTTGGAAGGGAATTTATATATCATACAAATACTTTTCTAAAATTAATCTTCTTTTCTGAGTTTAAAGTATAATTTCGTATTCAAGAAATAAGCAGAAAATTTAAGTTAATAACCTAAGCAATTCAAAACAAATAATTTTAAGCAAACCCGTTTTAAACAGTTTTGTTATTTTGATTTTTAATTATCTTTATAATTAATATAAATTAAAACATATAATTTTTATTATAAAAATTTTTTCTAACTCTACATATTATTTACCTAGCTCAGAATGCTTTGGTTTATTTAATTCTTTTCCCTCGTGTTTGTAAAGAAATATTTTGCTGCGCATATTGGAATTTTCCGATCAAACTTATTTTTTACAATTTTTTATGTTCATAATTTAAAATGATTATAGCTGGCCTGAATATGAAAGAATGAAAGAGAAAACAAGTCATCCAAGAAGACTTTTACACTTCATTGATCCAAAAATAACTTTTAGATGATATACTGATTTTGTTTTAAAACGAGGAAGTGAAATAAAATCATCCAACACCAACTTAAAAAATCTATTTTCTCTATTCAACAAATGAGAAATATGTAACCAAATGACCTCGATTTTATATTCTGAAAGTGCAGTTGGAAGTTTTTCCCCTCCTCATAGTGAAAAAGAAAATAATTTAGAACTCACAAATAATGAAAAAAAAAAAAAAGAAAGAAAGAAAGAAAAAAACGGGGTGACTGCTGTATTTCTGTAAAAGTGTATAATTATATATTTCAAAAGCATAATTCACTTTTGATGTAAAAGGGGAAAAAAGTAAAAGAAAAAAAAAAAAAAAAAGAAAAGAAGATAAAAAATTTCGGCGATACAAAATCGCCGAAATTCAATAGCTGATGCTTTAATTTTATTGACGAAAATTTTACGTTATCTGTATGTTAATTACTTCCCTAAATGTATACTTTATAATTTCAGTGTTAAGTTAAAATACAACATTCACTCTCGAATCCCGGAGAAGGCATGGATGTAAATTTTTTGTCCCCTCATAGGAGGTAACGGTGGCCATCTATTAGGTGCCTTCACAATAAAATGACCACCACTTCCGGCCTTATTACAAGAAAGTAATAAGGCCAGAAGTGACCTTATTACTTTCAGAATGGTCAATACTGAAGAAAGGCAAGTGTCCGCCATTCGATTTAAAAAAAAAAATTTTTAATCTAGATTGCACTTTTCTTGAACAAGAAAGAAATTAGAGGCAACAATTTTGTGTAGCATTTATACCTTTTAAATCCTCTATTTGGTGCAAACTGCGATAGATCTGCTTTCGAAACCATGTAGTTGGTAACGTAGAATACTACTGAGATGCGAACTCTTTCATTAAAAGGGGCTGACTGTTAGAAGAAAAGTTGAAACCATGAAACACTAGTAGTTTTTCTGAGTTCTATTCCCGGATGTTGAACGAGTTGGCTGCATGAGGTTTCCATGTTTTTTTCTCACGTGTAACGACAAATATGGACTGATTTCTCTTAGAAATTTTTCCCACAGAGGCTCCCTCTTTTAGGTTAAATATTCTAACGAGCTTTGGCGTAATTAAACAATAAAATCACTTCAGCAAATATTCAAGAGAAAAAAATTTTTACTCCGATTAGCAATATATCGTTCTAATTAGGAAAATATATGAAAGAGCTATTTTATCCGAGTGTGATTTCATTTGGAAAATGAAAGCAGGCTTTCTTGAAAATGTTAATAAAACGAAATGAAAACCGAAAAGTTTTGATTCAACTTACTTACAAAAGCCGATTACTATTTTTTTAAGAAATTTAAATATATTTCACATATTTGATTTTTTAAATCAAACATTGCTTCAACAGCAAATAATTAATTTATTGTATTTTATTATTTTTATTTTTTATTTTATTATTTTAAATCATACGGCATAATTAAAAGTGAAACGTGTGATACAATTTACGAATTAGTCAAACAATAATTCGACCTGCTTTTCACTAAATGTTTGGGCGTTGTCATTTGCATAGTTCACACGTCATTAAAATATCAAAGATTTTTATACATATTGTTAATTCTATTCATGGTTTTTTATTTGAATGATACAAACCGAATATATGTAGCTACACTTCTAAAATTTCGGATAATTTGCGTTAAAAAATATAAATGATACCTAGAATAAGTTTTTCAAGTCTAATATTTTTATGATTATTTTGAAAGTAACTCGAACTTTAAAAACTATAAATTGCTCAAAATGCAAATTTTGGTATGCAGTATTACTGGAATGCACTTATTTATCTTAAATAATAGGCGCAACTTAAATTTTTATTCGAATCGAATACCTCTTAAAAGAATTCTGTGCGTTACTATTAATAACAATGGCTGCTTTCTGTTTGATTAATTTTTAATACAGAACAGCTAGATCTTAGAAGCGATTTTTATTAATTATGTAATGTAACAAAATTTGTTTATTAAGAAGTTTACTGCATTTTAATGGATAACTTTGTTACACTACTAAGCAAAACACTTTTATAATTTGGAGGACAAATTGAATATATTATTCCCCGTAAGTTTTTTTTTTTTTGGGGGGGGAGGGCTCAGAAAAAGTAATAGCAGTCTCCATTTATTAGAAAAACACCTGTTACGCCAACATTTTGTATAGTTTGTTGCTATAAAAATGGATTTTATTAAAAATAGAAGAAAGCAAGAATTTAACCTAAATTTCGAGTTGTAAAACTGAAGGACATGAGTTGAAAAGTAGTTGAAGATCACAATAAAGTTATTTTGGTACGGTGTTGTTTAACTTTTCAAACAGACAATTAGCTCGAACAAAAGAAAACATCTTTTTATGGTTTTCTCTCTCTTTTTCGTCCTTTTTTCTGTTCTTATTAATATATTTTTCATTATTCTTCCACAATAGGATTCGCTGATACACGCGAAACGCCCTCCTTTGTATACTTTGGAATTCTAGTAAAATTTACAAAATTACCTTCATGAAATAAATAAAGGTCTACAAGGGTAAAAATTTTTCATATTTTGACGAATAAACAACCTTTCGCATTTTTGAAAAGAAGTTGACAAATACACTTAAGAAATGTTCCTTCCTTTTGTTCTACAGGAGCCCAATGCTCATGAATGCAAAACCATTATATGACGATTCTTACTTCATATGAAATTGCTAAATATATTCGAGAAACTCTTTTATTTAATTTTCATATTGGCTTATTGTTTAATTTACTGAAACATAAAGAGGAAAATAATAGGATAATTTACTTCAAAAGAATTTTTTTAATTTTATTGGATTTTAAAATTTTGATTAGTTACTTAAACTTAATATCACGTGATATCAACTCACCTCGCGCTAAACAGACAACCAAGAGCACAAATATTCCACAGGTGATGCAATTCATCGTCCAACCAAACGATCCAACTGACCTAGAAGAGAAAAACTTTGTGAAAGTGTTCTCTTTCTCACCCGTTAGATGGCAGGTGGCGCTGATAGCCGCCGAGCAGTCTGAAAAAACTTATAAGGTCGTAAGAGGGTGTGTGTTCTTCGCGTTCAAATAAAAAAAAAAAAATGGGTAAATTATTATGGTTCAAGGAAACCAATCTTTTTTGCATTTGGTCTAATACTCAGATATTCAAATTAGATTAGAAAGAAGTTTTCTATAGAACGTAAATCCTTTTACAAAATTTTGGAATATTTTTTCTATAGCATTTTATGAAAGTTCTCTTAAACTTTTGTTACTTCAAAATTACTGATAACTCTTTTTTAATCTGATAAAAAAAAAGTTCTCTTAAACTTTTTACTTCAAAATTACTGATAACTCTGTTTTTTAATCTGAAATAAAAAAAGGCTTAAAAATCGCATAAAAAAACAGGATAGTAAATGATACTGTAAAACTACAGCGTTAGTGATAATTCTATGATTCTTATATTTTTTTTTTTTTTTTTTTTTTTTTTTTTCCTAAGGAAATCATTGTAGTATTCTTTCAAACAACTGATTCGATATTCGCTTTCCATATAATTATGAGATGAACATGCACAGAAATGGGATATGTAGAAGAACTTTTTCATGAATGCGATTATTTTCAAATTTACTAAGTGAATATTCAAAGCAATTTCGAAGATACGGGAGTCTATTAGTTCTGCAGTTCTGATGAATGCCGGCTTCTTTTTCCTTCAGACTACAAGCATTTCTTTAAATAACTAGAAATGCAACTGAAATTAGTTAAAATAACTTTCTGCATATAGCCACTCAGACGGGAAAGTGGGTTTTTAGTAGTAAATAGTTAGAAATCATCTTTGTTAGTGCCGTAAATTATGCTCGGGCTCAAATCCCCGAAGAAGGCTTGGATATGTAAATTGTCTTTCTCTTGATAGGAGGCAACGGGGGCCTATCTATTAGGTGCATCCATAAGTGACCACCGCTTACGGCCTACGGTAGTGTGACCCAGGTCTATAAGGCTCTGCCAGCATGCGTCCGGGGGGGAATGGAGTAGAAAAACGGGGGGTGGGGGGGAGAAAAGAAAAAACTTCGTACACATTTCTTCTCTAACTAATATTTGAAATAGAATTTTGAAATTATCCTAAATGACCTCTAACTTAGAACTGACCTGCGGAAAAATAATCTGCTTGTTATTCTAAGTTTTCGATTTATTTTCGTTATTGCTCTGGTCTGCATGTAGTTTAGAAAGTAAAGTTTTTTTTTTTTTTTTTTTTTTTTTTTTTTTTTTTTTTTTTCCTGCAATTTTTCAAAAACCGAACATATTTTACTTATTCCGCAAAACCATTAACTTCTTTCCAAACAAAAATCTCTCTAAATTATAATTAAGAAATTATAAAAAAGAATAAATAAATTAAAAAAAAATAGAAATAGCATACACCCAGTCCTCGTTTCTGTTAAATATAAAACCCAAATGTAATGCCTGATTAAATGTCTTTCAGCTGATTTTCTTTTAATTAACTTTGATAAACATCAAGACATTATGAAATGCCAGTATACAACGTCGCCGGTAATGTGTCAACGAATATTTTAGCTCAGAACTTAAGCCTGCTTCCCTTGGCCATGAGTTCAACGACCTGGTTTCTCTAATTTATTTATAAAAATTCATCAATAAAATATGAAAAACTTTAAAACAGTCATTACACTTTTGCATAATCCGTTTTAAAAATTATCGTGGAAGAAGTCAAGTCAAAATTTTAATTCCGCAGTATAAATACACTAATATAAATGCAAAGTTTACTCTAATCGAGATATAATGAAGAAAATGTAGTCGCTTAATGTTTGAAAAAGAAAATAGCTGAATTTTATTTTAAACCTGATTTTAAAAAATAAACAAAACTTTAGCTACGTACGTAAAATACACAAGGTCATATTTACAGCATGAAAATATTTAAAAGATAAATAAAACATATTTTATTAATCTCTTGATGTTGTTCAATATAATATAAAGAGTAATAATAATCAAAGGTCTAAAAGCAGCACTATATCTACACAATTCGCATCAGTTCTACTTATCATATCGTTTGCTAATTCCCGAATAATGCAAATGAGGGGCAAAAAGCAAACAGAAATTCAAAAGTCCTTTCATTCGATTTCAGAAAGTTAATAGACACATTAATAGTTTATGAAATCTCACATTCTTAGAGTACTGCTGTTTTATCTGTATAAAATACATGAGGATGTCCAAAAACTCAATTTGATTCTTCGAAAACAATTTAGATAGTTGGTTAACTTTTAACTTTTGACAGGTCCAACGCAGTATCTACTCTCTGCTTCAGACGAGGATTTATTTGTTCGTAACTAACCCGAAATATTGTCTTCAAGTTCTCAGCAGTTCCTGGACCGCGTTCCTGACATGAAATGAATTCTTGTTAACTTTCTTATATTAAAGAGATTTTTTGAAACTTTTTAGCTTTTAGGTCCAAAACAAAATAAACAAAGAGCGCCCTGTTTTCTTCGTTGTCTCCGTCCACCCCCAAAAAAAAACAATCTTCATTAGAATGTTGAGTTCTATCGTAAACCCAATGCTCTGTCTTGTTTGTTTTGTTGCTTTTTTTTTATACTACATTGCTGACGTGTATTAGTCACCCAAGCCCTACGCCAATCACGACGAAAATTCTCTCGTTTGGCGAAGGACAAATGCGACGCGTTAAGATTACGCCTGCTTTTGCCATAGCAACACAGCCTTGAGAAGAACTTTCAGGGTGAATCTGTATGCAAAATGTGACCATTTAGCCTCCGTTTTTGGGCGCCCTCGAATTTTTTTTAATGTGGAAGAGCACCTTGGGCACGGGGTCCGAGCAAGGGTATCCCACAATACCCTCTTGTCCCTTCCTAAGACAACAACCACAAACAGAGGCACACCGCCATATTTTTTTAGAAGTGCCCGCCATCAATTGCCGACCACCGACAATCGACTAACTAGGATTCAGAGGACATCTCTCAGCGACACCTCTCCTGGGGTCACTAATTCACCATCTAGGCTAGCACATGCGCTCTCAGCTGCATCCTTCGTACCCGTTTCGACCCGATTGATCCCCCTACGACCTACGTGTCTCGTATCGCTTTTCCCTTACAGTTACATAACATCCATGCCCGCTTCCGTGGATGGATTCGAAACGTGTCTTGTTCTTTTGGGCAAGGCAGATCAGCCAACGCTAAACCTTATGACCGGCTCACCTCCTCCCACCCTTGAGCGTGAATCCAATGTTTTCCCGTTTGAATTACGTCGTCTTCATTCAAATATCAAAGATAACCCTTATCCATTACTCATCGAGAAATACACGCCGTTGTTGTCTGCCCGGCAGTTTTATGGAATAAACTGTTCAGGGAAAATAGGGGAGGGGTCTGGTTTTTATTGGTTTCTAAAAACTGGTTATTTAAAATCGAAAGTGGGTCTCTTCAAAATAGGTTTTAATAAATAGGCACTTCGACTGTTCTGCGAAATAGATATGCGGCACACTCCGCCAGTTCAGTTGTCACTTTTGTTGTTTCCTTTAGATATTAAAGCGTTACATTTCGTGAAGTAGGGATTTTTTACCTACCAGGCGAACGACTGCTACTTGGTTTCTTAGATCTTGATGGTTTTTCCCTCGTGTAATAGGTTGTTGCTGTTAAGGGCTTAGAGATAAGGTTTAGGTCTAGGTTATTTTAATTTCGACGGACAAAGCCTCGATCTTGCCTTCGAGCGGCAGGGATGCCCTCGGGCGACCGAGGAGGACTTTCTAACCCCCGGGACAAAAACATGGCTCCGTAGCACGATTTACACCAGGAAGGAAAGGGGAAAAGAACCACCACCACAAAAACACTCCCATGCCATTATCCAGCCAGTCCGCTTTTGCGGGATTTATTTTTTTTAATTCGAACCTCCGGACCCAGACTTAATCCCTTCACTACCAGTGTTCAGTGACTTTACCGCTCGGCCGCTGGTGGGCCCTCCCCTCGTGTAAACTGAATACGAGCCAAGTTTCTATCCCTTTATGAAAACATCTCTACCTTGGGCAGGTAGCTCTCGTGTGCTTTGCTATATTCTAGTAATCTCACCTACCCTGGAAGTACGTGATTTAAAATTAATTTATTTTACAATTCAGATTTAACAGTTAGAGTGATAATAATTAAATGTTCCTCCGAGGTTTCTTCTAACTTTTGAAGCTTTCATGCACATTAAAAACAAAATTTTCCATGCTTGTAAGAAACTACATAATAAGAAACTATTTTGTTTTTATTATAGAAGTCAAAAAGAAAAAAAAAAAAAAAAAAAAAACAAAAAAAAAAAAAAAAAAAAAAAAAAAAAAAAAAAAAAAAAAAAAAATTCCCATCACCCCCGCAGTTTATGTTTGAAAAATTTTCGCACAGGACTCCTAGCCAAGGACTAGTTCCCCCTTTCAATGGTTTTTTTACGACCCATATCCTCAGTGCCATCTGTGAAGAGGAACGAATAAAGGGATACAAGCATCAGAAAGACGAGGGATATCGGGATAAATTTTAAATAGCCGAGACGATAACCAAATGGATTTACCAGCCCCCCCGATTGCCGCGGACTGTGGAGAGGGGGGGCTGGGTGTGGGGGGGGGTGGAAGGGACAGCGGGCGGGCAAACCAAAGACCGCGAGAGGCAGGATGAGAGACGCAGGAGTTTTTTTTAGCGGTAAAGATATTGAAATGGGGCATGTTGAAACTTATGTTGGCGGTAAGTGGAAAGGATAGGGTGGTGGTTAAGGGTAATTGTAGGATTATTCTTTATCGTTACGGGTTAACAAAGAAACACTGGTTCTTCTTCTCTTGCACATCTTAGAAACCAGTGGGAGGAACAACCTTTTCCAAAGTCTATCTGTTACACAACCCCCTTTTTTGGTCCGAAAAGAACAAAAGAGACAGAGAAACTCTTTCTCCGACCGACGAAAAAGAGATTAGACTGAGAAAAGAACATG